CGTTAACAACTAAATTGGCTACAAATTAACCCAACAACTACTAGGGGTAAACCACAATCTGTAATTGTTCATACTTCATGTTTTGGTAATAAAAGTACAAACAATGCGTAGGAAAGGATAGTTTGTTCAAATATCAACAATGTTAATAAAAGTATTTGTTACATTCAAACACGTGACAACTTACTGTCTGCTAATTTCCGACAGGCGATCCCGATAACCATGTTTACATTTCAATTTGGTTAATGTTAATAAAAAGTTGCGGTGGGGAACAACGGTGGCTAATAAACATGCAAAGGATGTAATTAGGAAGAATGACCGCGAATGGGGGGTTAGTATACGAATGACAGAAAATATGGAAGGAATAAAGTATTAGCTATGGAAATTCTCCAAAGAAAGTCAGTACACTGAAATCATTGAATGTTAATCATAATTTCCAAGGTAGGCGGTTTACTGAATTGATTCCAACGATGACTTCAAGCAGAGTCTATCGGGATGATAAAAATCCCTGGTTTTTGTAAAGTTTATGAATCTCATTCACAACAGATCAATCCAGGTGAGATGCAATGATATTGAAAATCGATGCATTTTCGAGGTTATTCTGAATTAAATCGCATTGAAGAATACGATGGAAATTATGATCTGCATGTCTTGCCAGAAAATAAGTTTCCAATGCATCCCGTAGAACGATTATTTTTAACCACGTAAAAATATAATATAATAACAGTGCAAACAGTTATTTACCGGATATAAGCCCACTTTTAGACGACATTAACCACCTAATAATTGGTAATTCCAATTCCTTTAACGAATCATTGGAGAGGTTAAGACGCTGACCTATGTCTCCACAAGGATAATATATGACTGCTATAGCCCGACCACCTCTTCATCTTCGTCTACAGACTCCGACATCCGACTTTATACCTATAGAATACCAGTACTAAGGGTTTTAAGGTTATACGAGATTCAGCATATGGTACACCATACGCTGACGACATCGACATAGTGGGTGGAACATTGCGAGCGGTAACAGCCCGCAATTGGCTTCGCGACTGAAGCCAATGGTCAATGACATTATTGGACCATACCAATGCGGCTTCAGACATGACAAATCCACCATTGACAAGATTTTCACCATGCGCCAAATCCAGGAAAAGATCAACGAAAAACACATCGGCACATTCCACCTGTTCGCCGACTATAAAACCACATTCGCCAGCTCTATCCTATCTCTATCGGCAATCCTGCAAAATTAATACGGCTATGCAGGATAACTTTGAGTGTCACAAGGTCAGCAGTTAAAGTCGGGAAGGACACCTCGGAGCCATTTAATACCAAACGAGGATTCAGAAATGGTGTCAGTTTGTCGTGTGGCCTTTTTAACATCCTGCTGGACAAGGTCATAGGATATGCAAATGGTACTCTGTACACCAAACAGCATATGCCGACGACATCGACATGGGTCGAAAATTGCGAGCGGTAACAGCCAGCATCGAGCGAATTGAGAAGGAGTCTGCCAAAGTGGGACTGGCAGTAAATGGCGAGAAGACCAAGCTGATGGTATCAACGCGCAAGACGTCCTGTAGACTTTGACCAACGGTGGAACTTGAAAACTACAGCTTCGATGTAATGAACGATTTTGTATACCTTGGTACCGCCATAAACAAAACTATTTACATTAGCTTTGAAATCTAAAGAATAATAGTGTTGGGAAACAGATGCTGCTATGGTCTCGAGTAAACAATTCAAAACAAGGTCACTTCTCGCCAGACTAAATACACACTCTACAAGACTACCCGTGCTGTTGTATGGATCTGAAGCATAGGTACTTACGCAAGCAGATAAGGCAGCTCTTGGAGTGTTTGAGAGAAAAATCCCCGAAAGATCTATGTGAACAGTGAATATCGCCGTTGAATGAACCATGAGTTGCATCATCTATTCTCGGACATGGACATAATCAAACGTATCGAGCTTCAGCGACTACGTTGGCTAGGTCATATTATGAGAAAGAATGAGGCCACGAATTCGATAAAAATTCGATTAAGATCAAGTAGAAGGAGAAGGAAGTCATTGGTGGCAGTAGTGGAGACCCTAACAAAAATAACTTGTTGACCTCTTATAAAACCGTAGGCCGGTCCGTGTTGAGCTATGCTGCGCTAGTGTAGTTTTTGAATACAGAATTAATCACCTAAAAGTCCCCAAGTTATTGGTGGCCGTAGTGGAGACCCTGACAAAATAACTTGTTGACCTCTTATAAAGCCGTATCCCGGTCAGTGTTGAGCTATACTGCGCTAGTGTAGTTTTTGAATGCTTGTCATAATTAGTTGAATAACAGTCAGACCAGCCAGAATTCCATCCTGAAAACTGTAAGATGATATCTCCTTATGATAACATCTTTATAAGGACACGGGGATCGTACCCGCCCGCCGTTAAATCCAAATGTTGTTGATGCAGTACCTACTTAGGTGTTATCTTGTCACTGCCTTATGTTTAGACTTCTTTCACAGAGGCACGTCAGAAAAGATTCTCATAATCTGTAGAGATCGCTCCGAAGTTACAAGATTGAATCACTAGACCATTGCGCATATCAAACAGGTCTGAATATTATGCATATGTAGAAGAAGGATAAGATTGCATAAATGTTACAATCGGAGACCAGACGTCATCCATAGCAGCAGAGGAACAACTTCTGCCAAGGGAAACACGTTTGGTCTTAGTACAAATAATATCAGGAACACATTTCCGGCATGTGGATTGGGAACATGTCGTTCTCCCTGAAAAGCCCGAACGCATACAAATTACTTAATTGACATGACATGGATTGTTCAAGATAGAATGAGCATGAATGTTTTTTTAGACAACAACGACCCTTTCATGATTACTCAATCACGTAACCTTGTTCTAATTGATGCATTAATTGACAAAGGGTTTCAATTGGCCACTGAGGAGCCAATGCATTTTATTTATTTTCGTTTAAAAAAGATAACAATTTTCTTTTTTCGGTTGAAATAATCAACATGCAATCTAAACAATCAGTTAAGGATATATGTAAAGGTAACGCAACCTTCCATACCACCCCCCTTGTTAAACTAAACACACCAAAACTTAAAATTACACCGCTGTGTAATTACCGAATCAAGTTCAATTAAATCAACAGCAATAAAATAGGTATATGAATGAATCCCAAGTATCATCAGCTATCAGTATCGCTTACAACTCCGAACTATGAGTACTTTGAATCGTCCCAAATTAAATGTTCCCTTGAGGACAAGTATGGATAAACCGTTGCTGATGAAGCGTGAAAGTTCGGTTAATTTGAAACAGGTTTTCAGTGAAAATACTGAGGAATTTTGTACACATTCAACATTGCACGGTCTAAAATATGTTGTCGATGAGCAATTGTATCCTGGTGAAAGGATATTTTTTGCATTATCATTTGTCGCTGTTGTCCTGCTGTCGATATTCTTCATACGCGATGTTTATGCCAAGTGGCGTTCTACGCCGGTTATTGTCGGTATTAGCCCGCAGCCAAGTTTTATTGTCAATGAACCATTTCCGGCGGTTACATTTTGTAATTTAAATCAGGCTTCAAAGAAGAGAGCCGAAGTGTATAATGAGTGAGTGGAATTGAAATTTAAAAGGGTGTTGAAGTGGTGTGAAATACGAAAATATTTGATTTTATATTCTAGATTTTCCAGTGAATATGCAATGCTGCAACTATTGTGCAAAAAAGAAGTCAATCAAACAATTGCATCGGCTATCAATTGGAATTTATTCGAAGATTTTATTGTTAATGTAAGTACAGAGGGGAATTTCTAAAAATATGTCTTTACGCTCTATCTGGACGTGAGTTTTTATAGAAAATATACTCAAGGAATATTAGGGCCTGGATCTGTACAGAAAATTTTTTTAAGCATTACTGAAATAGTGGATGTTTAAAAGAATATTTTTCTAGAACCATCCAAGGAGTGGATTTTTAAAAGAATATTTTTTCATGGACTATCAGGAGGCGTGGATTTTTTAAAGAATATTTTTTCATGGACTTACCGAAGGCGTGGATTTTTTAAAGAATATTTTTTCATGCACTAACTGAAGGCGTGGATTTTTTAAAGAATATTTTTTCATGGACTATCAGAAGGCGTGAATTTTTTAAAGAATATTTTTTCATGGACTATCAGAAGGCGTGAATTTTTTAAAGAATATTTTTTCATGGACTATCAGAAGGCGTGGAGTTTTTAAAGAATATTTTTTCATGGACTATCAGAAGGCGTGAATTTTTTAAAGAATATTTTTTCATGGACTATCAGAAGGCGTGAATTTTTTAAAGAATATTTTTTCATGGACTATCAGAAGGCGTGAATTTTTTAAAGAATATTTTTTCATGGACTATCAGAAGGCGTGAATTTTTTAAAGAATATTTTTCATGGACTATCAGAAGGCGTGAATTTTTTAAAGAATATTTTTTCATGGACTATCATGAATTTTTTAAAGAATGAATTTTTTAAAGAATATTTTTTCATGGACTATCAGAAGGCGTGAATTTTTTAAAGAATATTTTTCATATATGATTCTCTTCTTACAGATTTCCCAACCATGTGAAGAGATGATAATTGGTTGTAACTTTGGTGGACTGGATTACAACTGTAAAGATATTTTTCGAACCATTGTAACAGATGAGGGATTATGCTGTGTATTCAATCAATTAGATCCGAAATATATGTACAAAGAAAAGTATGTGTCAATGAGCTAAAAAAATACCAAATCCTCATAATCTAAATCAATTCTATCTATTCCACAGCGTACCCAGAAAACGTGAGCTACCCTACACGGATGATGCCGTTGCTGTGAATTGGAATCCTGAAAAAGGTTATCCTGATAATTTACCCGACAAATTCTATCCACGTACAGCGGCTGGTACCGGACAGACACTTGGTCTTAGCATCACATTTGATGTGGATATCAATGACTATTATTGCTCCTCAACATCAAGTGTGGGTATTAAAATGGCTTTACATAGTCCGGCTGAAGTGCCACATGTACGAGAGATTGGTACCCTTTTGCCGGCAGGCTATGAGACGAAAATTCGTATACGACCCGATAAAACTGAAGCTGCCTTGAATTTGAAATCAATCAATCGAAAATATCGTCAATGTCTGTTTGATGGAGAGGAACATTTGACTTATTTTTCGTATTATAATGGACGGAATTGTGAGATGGAATGTCAAGCGCGTCGTTTACTGGAGCGTTGTAATTGCTTGGCCTATTATATGCCATTGATTGAGAATAATACTAAGATTTGTGGTATTATTGATACGCCATGCGTGAAACAAATGGCACAACACAATAGGAATAGGTCACTAGCCGTATTGGAAGATTGTCAACATTTATGTTGGCCAAGCTGCTTTGATTTGAATTTCTATAGTGATTTCTTCTCCGCGCCCATTTCGCATGAGGGTTTTGAAATTTCCAATAAATTGGTTAAGAATATGGCAAGTGATTATGCGGAGAAGAGTATGGGTGTGGCACATTTCTATTTCACCGATAACACCTTTCGCAGCACCAAGCAGACGGAATTTGTGGGAATTACAGATTTTTTGTGTGAGTATTTTGAATAAATTCAATAGAATTTGAAATAATGATTACTTTTGCTCCTTCTCCTTGCAGCCAGTGTCGGAGGTCTAATGGGCCTTTTTATGGGCTTCAGTTTTATATCGATTGCCGAATTCATTTACTATGCCATTTTGCGGCCTTATCACAAAATCAAAAAACATGATCGCCTAAATCAATCGAAATCCAAATCGAAACCTCCACAAGATGTCCGCGACTATCAGGTTCGCTTTGTAAGTCCAACTGAAAGGACAATTATGCGCATACCCGACCATTTAACGAAATCGAAAAAATTACAAATGTTTCCACCCCCAAATTTTATTATGGGTCGTCGGCAGAGTCCGGAATTGGATAATGATATTTTCAATAAACGCCCGTCATGGAACAGTAATCGAGGTTATAATAAATCCAAATAAACAAATTTTATTATCGAAAATAAACTAGAACAACAACAATAATAAATGTTTATGTAATTTAATAAAATGTAATCGAAAGTAAAGTGCAATATATTGTAATAGACACCATGGAATGTTTTTTTGTTTTCTTTGGGACATAAAGGGAAATAGTAAGTGAACATATTTAACCAATGGAAATATATGGTTAAATATTTTCATTGGTCGTAATGTGTATGTTCTAAAGAAAATAATGGAATTAGAAAATTTATTATATAAATGTATGCATTTGACTAGAAAATTCAAAGTGTTTTGAAGTGCCCTGAAGTTCGTTGGAGGATATTTTATTTCGGTGAAATGCTGCTTTGGAAAAATATCAAGAAAATCCGGGAATTTGGCCAAATCTATGGCACACAAAGTGTACGGGAAATCTTTTGGCAAAATACCAAAGAATTTTGTCGCCAAACTACGCTGCATGGAATGAAGTATATTGTGGATCCGAATTTGAAGCCGAGTGAAAGGTGAGTAGTTTTTAATAATCGAAAACTATAAAGTTAATTGGAAAAATGGGTTAGAAAATTCAACGTATGAAGTTCATGAACGTTCATGAAGCATGGTGTTTGTATGGGATCCATGTATAACCATGAAACTATATTGGTGATTATGGACACATTTTTAAATCAAATTGGCTAACAAAATGTCAGTATTTTCGGTATGTTTTTTCAACCAAATTCCCCTAATATTAAAGAAAAAAATTAGATTCATATTATAAACTTGAATTTACGCAACACTTCTAGAATTGAGGTCATGGGCAAAAGCGACGGAAAGAAAAAAAAAAATATTATTATAGGTAGACTCAACTGAAAATATAACAAATAGGAAATCAGCAGGCTGATATGTATTTTCATAGGACATCTCAGCCTGCGGAAACATTTACACAAGATTAGATGCGTAGGAAGCAGCAAGTGTAGAGCTTTTGGGGAAGACAGCGAAACGTTGGTACATTTCCTGTTCCAAATTTTACTACTCACGATCTAAACGACCTATAAGGGTGAGAATGGAAAAGTACGGAGGACTTTACTAAGAATTCCTGGGTGTATAGGGAGACCAACATCAAGCAGTTTCTTCTAACATGTGATGGCGTATGTCAATCCTCCTTACTTAATCGTTTTGCTAAAAATAAAGTGCCCAATTTTCAAGGTCCTACCGCAATTTTCAAAACTGAGTGTCTGTACCGTGTCCGCCATATTCGAATATCCCGTTAATGGGCTATACTTTACATGCATCAAGAACCGGAAAACTACAAAAAAGAAAAGTGGGGAAAGCCCAATTTGTTTGCTAGAGGATATTTTATCCATTGATATTGGACCCGGACCTTGAAGTATTAAGTATTACTGTCAAATAATGGTTTCAAACTGAAAAGTCGACCTCATTGACTTTCTGACCCATTATATGCAACACTTAATGAAGGCTTTTTAATTCCACTGAGTGTAAAAAACGGTTAATAAACATTTGAAGAAAATGTAACTAATATAAATATAGACACGAGCGTATTTGCACCAAATCTATTTCAGATATTTTAAAGTTAATTTAGATATATCCGCCTGTCTGTGTGACAGGAGTGTACCACAACGCACCATGGGAGTAACTGGATTGATTCAAGTTTTAGGGGGCGGGGACCTTCCCGGGGTAACCTCGGCATTTGATGGGGCACATTCGGCACCATTGTCATAGCCTGGTAATTATCATTGCTATAAGTCTGCTTGGAATTCAGATCCTCTAAGGGTTCTATTTGTTTTAATACGCGACTCAATGTTTGACTTTTAAGGCTGTATTTTCTAGCAACGGACGATGACGTCTCAAGGCCACCATCAGAAATAGCATTTTTCTATCGCATTTTCGTCAATACAATCACGTTTTATGTAATATTTGTAATTTCGAACCATATTAAAAGATTAGTTTTAAAGTTTATAGTTTTTTTTATACCCTTCACCACACTGTGGTACAGTGTATTATGTCTTTGTGCATATGTTTGTAACAGGCAAAAATAATCGAGATAGACCCATGGTTCCATTTGGGAATATGTTGGCGTCTGTTGGTGTTAAATTGTAAACAAAGTACAGGTCGCATTTATGATCCGTATTGGATGAAATTTGGCACAACTCATTTGTTTGGCCCAAGGACGAACCCTATTGAAATTCGGAAAAATTGCCTCAGATGGTGTACCAAAATTCCCCATATATCTTTCGATTTGCACGAAATTTGGCACAGCGTAATGAATAAGGTCTATAATGATGTGTGCAAAGTTTCTTGGTCCGATTTAAGGAAAGATTTTCAATGGGCTGGTAAATGAATACAAATGCTTGTTAAGGTTTGTAACTTTGCACATATATAATTGAAGATTTAAAAGAGAAGAAAAATAATTTACAAAAAAATTGTTACTGTTTTGTTGTTGTTTTTTGTAATTAAAGAAAAGTCCTTATTTTTGATGGCGGGCATGATAACTCCTCACTGGAACATGGGAATCCGAAAATTCCAACGGTGTTAGAAGGAGTACATGTCTGGCTCTCGTATGAACTAGGATTATTGACTTCGCTCTAAAATTAACAAAATGGTGGACCTTTAAAAAAATATTTTTGGAAAATTGCCGATTTGTTACCAAAAACCAAGTTAAAAAATAAGGAAGATCTTCACCGATTGGCTTTATCCTAGTTCATACGAGAGCTATACACTCCCAGAGAAACGTTGCAAAATTTGGAACCGATTGGATTATTAGTTTTTGAGTTATCGTGCCCGCCATTCGCAAAAAAATGTTTAGAGAAAAACGCGTTTAAAGTTTGAGAAGCCCTTCAGCCGTCACTTGATGCTGACACAATAAATCGGCTATATCTTCAAGAGTTCTTGAGATTTTCACTTGAAATTTTGTAGAGACATTCTTTAATCAGTGTAGATTCGAATTATATCAACAAAAATTTTGACCCCGAGAATGGGGGGGGGGGTCCCCTTAAGGTAAATTGTGTATCAAAGTCCCTATATACGTTTCGATTTGCACGAAATTTGGCACAGCGTACTAAATTATTTCAAAAGATCCATAGGTGGGCCGATTGACACAACGTACTGATGTAATATAAACTAGTGAGCGGAGCAGTATATTCGGACGGGGCCGACCATACGATACCCTACACAACTACCACGAAACTCAAATTTTCTGCGGATGTTTATTCCGAGCCTGGGCAATATTTCGTGATATTTGAACCCTCTTGCCCGATTAGAGGTAAACAGCACCTCTTCCTCACACTGACATATTTTCCGAATATTATAAATTTTGTCATTTTTCACACAAAAGTCAGGGTCCATTTGACCCGCTAAATATTGACCGATCTTTATCAAAACAGGCATGCTTATTCTTTGGCCCGATCCCCTTCCCATGCAAAATTTTACGATGTTCGGGCCAGAAAACCGAAAAAAATTTAGTATTTGGTTCATCCCCTAAATATTAACCGATCTTTCTCAAAAACAATAGGGGTCTTCATTGGCCAGAACCCATCCTACATGCAAAATTTCGTGAAGATTGGTCCATAACTATGGCCTGTATCATGTTTACAAATTATAATGGACAGACGGACGGACACACATGTCTAGATCGACTCAGCTAGTCGAGATATGACGATCGGTATACTTAAAGGTGGGTCTAGGACCAATATTTCGCGGCGTTACAAAATTTTGGGGCTGCACAAAGCTATAATACCCTGACATCATAGTTTTGTAGGGTATAATTAGTCCCTGGCAAGATTCCCTGAAATCGGTTAGATAACAAAAACGCGACGTCTGTTAGGATGCATATGTAGAATATACCCAAAGTGGTGAAGGGTCGGCCCAGTCCGACTTTACTACTTTCCTTACTGGTTTTCATTTGTTTTTATTAAACTTCTAAGAGAATTATATTTTTAATTATTTTAATTATTTTTATAAAAATACACATTGTAATGAACTATATTTTGATAATACTGAAATTGTTTATACACGAAACAAAAACCAAAACGATAACAAAAACCAAGAAGATCTCAATTCAAACCTGCTTGATTTCTTGCTTGATAGTTCTTTGTCCTGAATTTTGCAACCGTCTGCGACCGTTCATAAACTTAGGAGTTATTGCAGATATTATCAAAAAAAAAAAAAAAGATTTCATACGACATACGGCCTTTGTGAAGCCACATAGCGCAGTATGACTGATGAGCCGCTTAACCAACTGCTAAACGCGTCGCATAATGGTAGGTGCGTAGGTTCTTCACCTGGCTTTCCTTTTCATTGCAAATTTTCGATCATTAAGCTTGGGTCGAAAGAGTATAAAAACTCACATAGTGAATTTTTAAATTGTCTTTTAACAAGCAGTAAATTGGAAGATATTAGTCTCACCTTCAACCAAAATTTTGCTCCGTAGATCTACAAATAGTTTTCGGAAATAAAAAAATAATTATTTATTTTTTATTCTGGTTCCCCACAAATTTTGCTTTGTTGTTGGCTCTGCGACTTTTGTCAAGAAAACTGCTAATGGAACCAACATAGATTCATTCTACACACACAATCAGATACAAAAATTGTTGGACAAAGATGTTCACATGCAGCATAAGAACACATCTTGTATATCGTTAGCTAAAAAGCAAAAAGGCGTAACTAACAAAAAATTGAAAATTGACTTTTTGAATGAATATTGTGAATGTCAATAAACTACATGTGTTGAAAAAGTTTTACACGTCTGCGGTCAAAAAAGGAGCTTCTATTAACAAAAAACAAAAAGACGTAACTACAAGTGGGTTTATTTGATAAATGCAAAAAGGCGTAACTAACACAAAATTCACGGTTTTAGTTAATTGTTATGACTGCCATTAAACTAAATAACTAAATTTGTTAAAAAAAATATAGTCTATTATTCTTCATATGCAATAACACCCTGCCGGACATACTTTTTCATTTCACATGACATGTTTATTGTTTTCATTCAAAACAGTTTTTTGCTTATCCTACACAATTATGCTTTTGTTAGTTACGCCTTTTTGCATTTTAGCTGACGATATATTCAAATTAATTTTGGGTATCCGTCCAAAAGTTAACATTTTCTCTATGCTATTTAAATTTTACTTATCGTTTTAGGTGCTTCTTTGGTGTATCTGTTGTAACGGTGATATTTGCTGCTGTCTATTTAATTGTTCATGTCTATCAGAAATGGGCCAATACTCCAGTAATAGTGGGTATTAATCCTCAATCAACTGCAATTACTGATGAACCTTTCCCGGCTGTAACAATTTGCAATTTAAATCAAGCCTTAAATCACACGGCGGAGAAATTTTCAAGGTAAGTATTTTTCAATCTTTTAGACAAAATATGCTATCATTCATATTTCTGATATAAAAAAAATATTTATCATTGTTTATTACAGGAATTCCACAGATTTTACAATAGTTCAGCTGCTGTGTAAACGTGAAGTAAATCAGACAGCGATCAAGTCAATTACGAATTGGAATCATGTGGAACAATTTATCGTGAATGTGGGTACATTTTGAGATATGAGATATAACTGATTTTAAAAATATTTTCGATCCGGCAGATTTCTCAACCATGTAAAGATATGTTGGTTGAATGTCGTTTTGGTGGAAAATATTACAACTGTAGTCATTTGTTTTATCCCTTGGTAACCGATGAAGGATTGTGTTGTACCTTCAATATGTTACATCCGATGTTTATGTATGTTTCTCAGTAAGTAAAATTTGATCATTAAAAATGAATAACTAGAAAAAAATGTATATATTCGAATTTATTTCTAGCATTCCCTTATCCTATCCAAATGTAACACCGGTACAAACACCCATCGATTGGTATTCCGAGGCAGGATATTCAAAAAATTTACCCAAAAATTATTATCCGAAAAAAGTGCCAGGTGTTGGCGAATCATTGGGTCTATCAGTGGCGATAGATGTTCAAGAGGATAAATATTATTGTTCCTCATCGAATAGTATTGGATTTAAATTTGCCTTACATAGTCCCAACGAGACGCCGAATGTCCACGACACTGGAGTGTTTATCGAACCGGGTAAAGAGACAAATATACGAATAATACCGGTTAAAACCGAATCCCATAAACAATTATTGGCAATGTCAAAGAGATTGCGGAAATGTCTATTTCATGATGAGGGGAAATTGAAATTTTTTGCCCATTACACTCAGAGAAATTGTGAAATGGAATGTGTCGCCCTGTTGTCGTGGAAATATTGCGGCTGTATTAGTTTTTATATGCCGAAAATCTATAATAATGTTACCGTGTGCAGCATCAACGAGGCCAAGTGTGCCAGGGCGGTACGTTTGGGAATTTATAATAGTCAAACGTCATGTTTTGATGAATGCTTGCCGGGTTGCTTTGAAATTGACTATCCGATTAATACGTTCGCAACAAAGTTGGCCCATACTGGTTTGATTTTTAGTAATCGTAATCTTGCCAATATGAAACGTTCGTATGTTGTGAAAAATCTAGCCATTGTGCATATGTTTTTCAGCTCGAATACATTTCGTAGTAATTTGCAAACGGAATTTATAGATTTTTCAGATTTTTTGTGTAAGTTAATTAAAATAAGAAAAGGAAAACCAAATTATATCTAACAAATTAAATTTTCTTTCGCAGCAAGTGTTGGTGGACTGATGGGCTTATTTTTGGGTTTTAGTTTCCTATCGATTGCCGAGTGTATCTATTATGCTGTCATACATCCTTGTCGCACCATTGGAAAATATCACAAATCATTGAAAAGTTTGAAAAAAGTTCGAAAACATTCACCAAAATGGATAAAGAAACGTGCCACCTTAAAGTCTCGCTGTAAGAAGTTATTCACCTCATCATCCAATGTTGAGTATCGTAATGAAAAAATTATAAAAGTTCCATATGCCATTACATATGGATTTGATGTTCCAGTTGATGATAGAATTCAATTACCATTTTGCCAGTGAGCATGTCTAACGGAATCTATGAAAAATCGGTGTTAACTTGTAGTAAAATTATAAAATAATGATTATTTAAATAAATGTTGTCTGCTTTGTGTGTAAAAACTTTGGAAATTCTTTTATTGCCGGATTATGAACTATATAACTAGGAGCTTATAAGGATTTTATTTTTAGGGGACCCCCCATTCTCGCTTTGAAATGTTGACTATTTTCAAACGGCTAAGCACATGAAGACTTGTAGTTTAAGATAATTAATTGAAATAATTTTGCTGCTGTTTTTTGAAACCAAAGAAGGACAAAAGGAAGATCTTGACGGATTGGATATATCCTAGTTCGTATCATAACTTTGAAAGGGTTTGGATTATTAGTTTTTGAGTTATCGTATGTTCGAATTAAATATAAAACCAAAATTCAATTTTTTGATACCTATAATGTGTGGGGTCCCCTTAGAAGTCCACGCCGTTAAAAATGCTAGAAGCCATTTCACGCCATTTACTGATGAATGCCTTTAACAAATTCGCTTAAAAACCGCACGCTTTTTATTGCGCAAAGCCTCTAAAGAATCCTCTTAAAAATTTCAAGCCTTTAATTGCTGGGATCTTCTACAGGCTTTCCATTAAAAGTCTACGTCAAGTTAATAGCTAGAGGCCTCTAACGAATATTTTTTTAATTCCTGTCTTTTATTGCTAAAAGCACCTGAACACTTCTCTTAAAAGTCTGTGTCTTTAATTTCAAGATGTCAATCATGAATTTGCTTATAAAGTCTATGTCTTTAATTTCATAGAATTCTCTAAAAAAGATTAGAACGTACAATATTTTAAACATTTTTCATAGAACCCTAAAAATCTACGTTTGACGATCGAGGCCTTCAAAAATCCAAACTTATCCATTAAATAATATCCTTAAAACTTTCAAGTTTATCCTTCAACTAATATCCTTAAGAAATTACCGCTATAGCTGGATATCCTTGAAATATCATTCGTATAATATCAAAATAATCCTTGCTTATAGCCCTTGCTCATTCAATATATATCCTTAAGAAGTCGACCCTTATAGCTTCAATTAATAACCTTAAAAATTCCTTTATAGCCCTGGTTAACCCTAAAATCATATAGATAACAAATATTCATATTCCATAAAAACTAAACACCGTTAACTCAAAAAGTCCTTTAAAACAATACCTTTAACTCAGAAAGTCCTTTCAAATAATTCCTTTAATTCAGAGAGTCCTTCGAAAAATATTTTATATAAATAAAAATATCCTTTAAAAATCCAAGCCTTAAGTTGAGATAGCCCTCGAACAATTATTACTTTAAAAATCTAAGCCTTGAGTTGGGCCCTCGCCTATAGCTCAGATAGTGCTCCTAGTCCTGAAAAAATATTATTTAATAATCCACGCCTTAAGCTTATATAGTTATCCTAAAAATATGCTTTACAAATCCACGCCTTTAGCTTACATAGTTATCCTAAAACAAAGCTTTAAAAATCCACGCCTTCAGCTTAGATAGTTATCCTAAAAATATGTTTTAAACATACACGCCTTTAGCTTAGATAGTTATCTTAAAAATATGCTTTAACAGCTTAGATAGTTCTAAAAAAAATATTCTTTAAAAAAACCATGCATATCTGAGTTATATGCAGTGCTCCTAAAAATATTCTTTAAGAATCCATGTCTATAGCTCAGATAGTGCTCCTAAAAATATTCTTTAAGAATCCATGTCTATAGCTCAGATAGTGCTCCTAAAAATATTCTTTAAAAATCCACGCCTATAGCTAAAATAGTTCTCCAAAAAATATTCTTTAAAAATCCACGCCTATAGATCCTGAAGAACTTCTCCTCTTTAAAAATCCACGCCTATAGATTAGATAGTTCTCCTAAAAATATTCATTAAAAATCCACGTCTATAGTACAGATAGTTCTCCTAAAAATATTCTTTAAAAATCCATGCCTATAAATCTGATGGTCCTTCTAAAAATATTCTTTAAAAATCCATGCCTATAGCTTAGATAGTTCTCCTAAAAATATTCTTTAAAAATCCACGCCTATAGCTTAGATAGTTCTCCTAAAAATATTCTTTAAAAATCCACGACTATAGCTAAGATAGTTCTTCAAAAAGTATTCTTTAAAAATCAATGCCTATAGATTAGAGAATTCTTCTAAAAATATTCTTTAAAACTCCACGCCTATAGCTAAGATAGTTCTCCTAAAATTATTCTTTAAAAATCCACGCCTATAGCACAGATAGTTCTCCTAAAACTATTCTATATTATTCCTTAACAAGAAGAATACACATGGTTAAAATTAACATAGAAACTACACTTAGGTTTCATTTTAATAATCAGGAAGTTCCGTATGTTATTAACGAAGTACATAGTTAATAAAGTAATTATTTTTATAAGAAGTCGTCTCATTCATTCCCTTAATTTCACAAGTTGTAGCAAAATAATGTTAACAACAGATATTAATGGTTTGATGTCCTTGAAAAAGGGCTTATAAAAATGTTAAGGTATTTGGAAAATTTCCTAGTTTCTTCATAGCCACTATGGCTTCAACCTGTAGTTCGGAAAGTTCAAAATCGTTGGAAAGTGTTGTTAGTGATAATAGAAAGAAAGGATTGTGGAATTCTCTGGTTCAAAATGTTAAAGAATTTTGTAAAAATACCACATTGCATGGCTTGAATTACTTGGTCAATGAAGATTTATATCCATTGGAGAGGTATTCGGAGTTGGAGCAAATAGTGTATAATATAGAAAAAAAAATACTGTAAAAAAACTTAAATGTTTAAAAGGATTTTTAAAGAGTATTTTTTCTAGGAATATCTGAGTTAAAGGCGTGGATTTTTAAAGAGTATTTTTTCGAGGACTGTCTGAGTTAAAGGCGTGGATTTTTAAAGAGTATTTTCAGGAGGGCTATTAGAGCAATGGGCGTGGATTTTTAAAGAGTATTTTCAGGAGGGCTATTAGAGCAATGGGCGTGGATTTTTAAAGAGTATTTTCAGGAGGGCTATTAGAGCAATGGGCGTGGATTTTTAAAGAGTATTTTTTTTTCTGAGTTAAGGCGTGGATTTTGAAAAAGTATTTTTTCGAGGACTATCTGAGTTAAAGGCGTGGATTTTTAAAGAGTATTTTTTAAGGAAACTTCCTAGGCATAAGCGTGGATTTTTAAAGAGTATTTTTTCGGACTATCTGAGTTGAAGGCGTAGATTTTTAAAGAGTATTTTTTCGAGGTCTATCTGATTTAAAGGCGTGGATTTTAAAGAGTATTTTTTTTCTAGTTAAAGGCGTGGGTTTTTAAAGAGTATATTTCCGAGGACTACCTGAGTTAAAGGCGTGGATTTTTAAAGAGTATTTTTTCGAGGACTATCTGAGTTAAAGGCGTGGATTTTTAAAGAGCATTTTTTCGAGGACTATCTGAGTTAAAGGCGTGGATTTTTAAAGAGTATTTTTTAAAGAGTATTTTTTCGAGGATTATCTGAGTTAAAGGCGTGGATTTTTAAAGAGTATTTTTTCGAGGACTATGTGAGTTAAAGGCGTGGATTTTTAAAGAGTATTTTTTAAAGAGTATTTTTTCTAGGATTATCTGAGTTAAATGCGTGGATTTTTAAAGAGTATTTTTTCGAGGACTATCTGAGTTAAAGGCGTGGATTTTTAAAGAGTATTTTTTCGAGGACTATCTGAGTTAAAGGCGTGGATTTTTAAAGAGTATTTTTTCGAGGACTATCTGAGTTAAAGGCGTGGATTTTTAAAGAGTATTTTTTCGAGGACTATCAAGTTAAAGGCGTGGATTTTTAAAGAGTATTTTTTTCGAGTACTATCTGAGTTAAAGGCGTTGATTTTTAAAGAGTATTTTTTACGAGGACTATCTGAGTTAAAGGCGTGGATTTTTAAAGAGTATTTTTTCGAGGACTATCTGAGTTAAAGGCGTGGATTTTTAAAGAGTATTTTTTCGAGGACTATCTGAGTTAAAGGCGTGGATTTTTAAAGAGTATTTTTTTCGAGGACCTTACAAGGCGTGGATTTTTTAAAGAGTATTTTTTTCAAGGACTATCTGAGTTAAAGGCGTGGATTTTTAAAGAGTATTTTTTTCGAGGACTATCTGCGTTAAAGGCGTGGATTTTTAAAGAGTATTTTTTCGAGGACTATCTGAGTTAAAGGCGTGGATTTTTAAAGAGTATTTTCTGAAGGATTTGATATCAATAAGCGTGGATTTTTAAAGAGTATTTTCTGAAGGATTTGATATCAATAAGCGTGGATTTTTAAAGAGTATTTTTTTCGAGGACTATCTGAGTTAAAGGCGTTGATTTTTAAAGAGTATTTTTTTCGAGGACTATCTGAGTTAAAGGCGTGGATTTTTAAAGAGTATTTTTTCGAGGACTATCTGAGTTAAAGGCGTGGATTTTTAAAGAGTATTTTTTAAAGAGTATTTTTTCGAGGATTATCTGAGTTAAAGGCGTGGATTTTTAAAGAGAATTTTTTCGAGGACTATCTGAGTTAAAGGCGTGGATTTTTAAAGAGTATTTTCTCAAGAATCATCAGAGCAATAGGCGTGGATTTTTAAAGAATATTTTTTGAAAGACCATCAGACAAATAGGCGTGGATTTTTAAAGAGTATTTTCTGAAGGACTATCTGAGTATCAAAAGCGTGGATTTTTAAAGAGTATTTTTTCGACGACTATCTGAGTTGAAGGCGTAGATTTTTAAAGAGTATTTTTTCGAGGTCTATCTGATTTAAAGGCGTGGATTTTGAAAGAGTATTTTTTCGAGGAGTATCTGAGTTAAAGGCGTGGGTTTTTAAAGAGTATATTTCCGAGGACTACCTGAGTTAAAGGCGTGGATTTTTAAAGAGTATTTTTTCAGAGGTCTACCATTGGCGTGGATTTTTAAAGAGAATTTTTTCGAGGACTATCTGAGTTAAAGGCGTGGATTTTTAAAGAGTATTTTTTAAAGAGTATTTTTTCGAGGATTATCTGAGTTAAAGGCGTGGATTTTTAAAGAGAATTTTTTCGAGGACTATCTGAGTTAAAGGCGTGGATTTTTAAAGAGTATTTTTTCGAGGACTATCTGAGTTAAAGGCGTGGATTTTTAAAGAGTATTTTTTCGAGGACTATCTGAGTTAAAGGCTTGGATTTTTAAAGAGTATTTTTTCGAGGACTATCTAAGTTAAAGGCGTGGATTTTTAAAGAGTATTTTTTTCGAGGACTATCTGAGTTAAAGGCGTTGATTTTTAAAGAGTATTTTTTTCGAGGACTATCTGAGTTAAAGGCGTGGATTTTTAAAGAGTATTTTTTTCGAGGACTATCTGAGTTAAAGGCGTGGATTTTTAAAGAGTATTTTTTTCGAGGACTATCTGAGTTAAAGGCGTGGATTTTTAAAGACTATTTTTTTCGAGGACTATCTGCGTTAAAGGCGTGGATTTTTAAAGAGTATTTTTTTCGAGGACTATCTGAGTTAAAGGCGTGGATTTTTAAAGACTATTTTTTTCGAGGACTATCTGCGTTAAAGGCGTGGATTTTTAAAGAGTATTTTTTCGAGGACTATCTGAGTTAAAGGCGTGGATTTTTAAAGAGTATTTTTTCGAGGACTATCTGAGTTAAAGGCTTGGATTTTTAAAGAGTATTTTTTCGAGGACTATCTAAGTTAAAGGCGTGGATTTTTAAAGAGTATTTTTTTCGAGGACTATCTGAGTTAAAGGCGTTGATTTTTAAAGAGTATTTTTTCCGAGGACTACCTGAGTTAAAGGCGTGGATTTTTAAAGAGTATTTTTTCGAGGACTATCTGAGTTAAAGGCGTGGATTTTTAAAGAGCATTTTTTCGAGGACTATCTGAGTTAAAGGCGTGGATTTTTAAAGAGTATTTTTTAAAGAGTATTTTTTCGAGGATTATCTGAGTTAAAGGCGTGGATTTTTAAAGAGAATTTTTTCGAGGACTATCTGAGTTAAAGGCGTGGATTTTTAAAGAGTATTTTTTCGAGGACTATCTGAGTTAAAGGCGTGGATTTTTAAAGAGTATTTTTTCGAGGACTATCTGAGTTAAAGGCTTGGATTTTTAAAGAGTATTTTTTCGAGGACTATCTAAGTTAAAGGCGTGGATTTTTAAAGAGTATTTTTTTCGAGGACTATCTGAGTTAAAGGCGTTGATTTTTAAAGAGTATTTTTTTCGAGGACTATCTGAGTTAAAGGCGTGGATTTTTAAAGAGTATTTTTTTCGAGGACTATCTGAGTTAAAGGCGTGGATTTTTAAAGAGTATTTTTTTCGAGGACTATCTGAGTTAAAGGCGTGGATTTTTAAAGACTATTTTTTTTCGAGGACTATCTGCGTTAAAGGCGTGGATTTTTAAAGAGTATTTTTTTCGAGGACTATCTGAGTTAAAGGCGTGGATTTTTAAAGACTATTTTTTTCGAGGACTATCTGCGTTAAAGGCGTGGATTTTTAAAGAGTATTTTTGTCGAGGACTATCTGAGTTAAAGGCGTGGATTTTTAAAGACTATTTTTTTCGAGGACTATCTGCGTTAAAGGCGTGGATTTTTAAAGAGTATTTTTTTCGAGGACTATCTGAGTTAAAGGCGTGGATTTTCTTGCTGATTTTTTGTATTTTTCTTTCTTATAGAATTTACTTTGTCTTGTCCTTTATATCGGTCGTTGTTATTGCGGGAATATTTATTAGTGAGGTATACAGCAAATGGAATACCACACCGGTTATCATCAGTATCAACCCGAAACCAACATATATTACCAATGAACCATTTCCAGCCCTGACAATATGCAATATGAATAAGGCGTACAAGGCGAAGATACAACATTTTCAAAAGTAAAAATTTGTAAAAATATTTTAATAAAAATGTATAATAACTGATTTTTAAATCTCAGAGATTCTGTGGAATATGCCTTGATACAAATGTTGTGCAAACGGCGAGTGAACGTAACGGTGGCCAATACCATAGACGATTGGAGTAGTCTAAATGAATTTATTTCGGATGTAAACAAATGGGCTCAATAGAAGTAAATTGGTAAATTGGTTCTAAGGGTTTTGATTTTATTTCAGATATCACAGCCATGTGAGAAAATGATAATTTCTTGTTGGTTTGGCGGTGTTAAATACGATTGTCTGCGTATATTCCACCCCATTGTAACCGATGAGGGGTTGTGCTGTGCTTTTAATTTGGTGCATCCGAAATTTTTATATGCCGAAGGGTATGTAGAAAATGTTTCACCTTGAGATAAGTTTTAATTCTGTTGTTTTCCAGCACACAATCTCTCATCAAGGAAACCTATAGCAATCACAGTGACATGGATGAAGCGATTAGTTGGAATCCGGAATCTGGCTACCCCAAGAAATTACCAAAACATTTTTATCCTCGAACTGCTGCCGGTACTGGAGAATCATTGGGCCTCACCGTGATACTTAATGCCGAAGTGGATCAATATAATTGTTCGTCAACGAATAGTGTTGGCTTCAAAATGGCCATGCACAACCCCAACGAGAGAGCCAATGTCCGTGAAGTTGGTCTACTGCTGGCAGCAGGATATGAAACAAAGGCTCGTGTGCGTATGGAGAAATTGGAGGCTGATCAAAAACTACATTCTGTCGATTTGAAATATCGACAATGTGAATTTCAAGATGAACACAAGTTAAACTATTTTGCAACATATACTGAATCGAATTGTGAGGCGGAGTGTATTGCCAAAACGATGATGCGCCATTGTCGTTGTTTACCGCACTATATGCCGAAGCGATATGAAAATGAAACCGTGTGTAGTATTTATGACAGTCGATGTGTTGAGCGGATTCGTCTGCACTCGATGATAAATGACGATAATGACAATGAAATTGAATGTGATGAGGTGTGCCTGCCCAGTTGCTATGATTTGAAATTTTATGCAGAATTTTTTTCCACACCATTGGAACATGGGGTTTTTGTCAGCAATAATCCCTCACTGCGAGATATGTCGGAGGAATATGTCGAAAAGAATATTGCCATCTTGAACATGTACTATAAGGACAATTCATTTCATAGTAATAAACAAACGGAATTTATTGGCATGACAGATTTTATGTGTAAGTTGAGAATATTTTCGTAAATACGTTATTTTTAAAATAATCTATTTTCAATTCTTTGCAGCCAGTATTGGTGGCCTCATTGGTTTATTTTTTGGTTTTAGTTTCATATCTCTGGCGGAAATAATATTTTATACACTCATTCGTCCTTGCCGTAAAGTTCGTAGGAAAAAATCGAAAATAATATCGATAAAGCAGGCCAGAAAAATAAATGTCAGCAAATATAGCCCGAAAGGAATGAAAGTTCGTCGCAATTATTTATCTCCGTTCATTGTAAATCCTTATGGTCGCAGAATTTCCCAAAACATAAACTATTATCCAGCTAATATGAATGCAGATTTATTAGAAATTAACGATATGGATATACCTACAATTTATAAACCACAATATAAAGGGCGCAGAAGTTTAATTTATTAATAAATAAAACACCTTTACTCTTCAAGTATAGTTCTGAAAGTGCTTGAAATAATTTCTTTAAAAAATCCACGCCTATGTGGCTGAAAGTGCTTGAAATAATTTCTTTAAAAAATCCACGCCTATGTGGATGAAAGTGCTTGAAATAATTTCTTTAAAAAATCCACGCCTATGTGGCTGAAAGTGCTTGAAATAATTTCTTTAAAAAATCCACGCCTATGTGGCTGAAAGTGCTTGAAATAATTTCTTTAAAAAATCCACGCCTATGTGGCTGAAAGTGCTTGAAATAATTTCTTTAAAAAATCCACGCCTATGTGGCTGAAAGTGCTTGAAATAATTTCTTTAAAAAATCCACGCCTATGTGGCTGAAAGTGCTTGAAATAATTTCTTTAAAAAATCCACGCCTATGTGGCTGAAAGTGCTTGAAATAATTTCTTTAAAAAATCCACGCCTATGTGGCTGAAAGTGCTTGAAATAATTTCTTTAAAAAATCCACGCCTATGTGGCTGAAAGTGCTTGAAATAATTTCTTTAAAAAATCCACGCCTATGTGGCTGAAAGTGCTTGAAATAATTTCTTTAAAAAATCCACGCCTATGTGGCTGAAAGTGCTTGAAATAATTTCTTTAAAAAATCCACGCCTATGTGGCTGAAAGTGCTTGAAATAATTTCTTTAAAAAATCCACGCCTATGTGGCTGAAAGTGCTTGAAATAATTTCTTTAAAAAATCCACGCCTATGTGGCTGAAAGTGCTTGAAATAATTTCTTTAAAAAATCCACGCCTATGTGGCTGAAAGTGCTTGAAATAATTTCTTTAAAAAATCCACGCCTATGTGGCTGAAAGTGCTTGAAATAATTTCTTTAAAAAATCCACGCCTATGTGGCTGAAAGTGCTTGAAATAATTTCTTTAAAAAATCCACGCCTATGTGGCTGAAAGTGCTTGAAATAATTTCTTTAAAAAATCCACGCCTATGTGGCTGAAAGTGCTTGAAATAATTTCTTTAAAAAATCCACGCCTATGTGGCTGAAAGTGCTTGAAATAATTTCTTTAAAAAATCCACGCCTATGTGGCTGAAAGTGCTTGAAATAATTTCTTTAAAAAATCCACGCCTATGTGGCTGAAAGTGCTTGAAATAATTTCTTTAAAAAATCCACGCCTATGTGGCTGAAAGTGCTTGAAATAATTTCTTTAAAAAATCCACGCCTATGTGGCTGAAAGTGCTTGAAATAATTTCTTTAAAAAATCCACGCCTATGTGGCTGAAAGTGCTTGAAATAATTTCTTTAAAAAATCCACGCCTATGTGGCTGAAAGTGCTTGAAATAATTTCTTTAAAAAATCCACGCCTATGTGGCTGAAAGTGCTTGAAATAATTTCTTTAAAAAATCCACGCCTATGTGGCTGAAAGAGCTTGAAATAATTTCTTTAAAAAATCCACGCCTATGTGGCTGAAAGAGCTTGAAATAATTTCTTTAAAAAATCCACGCCTATGTGGCTGAAAGAGCTTGAAATAATTTCTTTAAAAAATCCACGCCTATGTGGCTGAAAGAGCTTGAAATAATTTCTTTAAAAAATCCACGCCTATGTGGCTGAAAGAGCTTGAAATAATTTCTTTAAAAAATCCACGCCTATGTGGCTGAAAGAGCTTGAAATAATTTCTTTAAAAAATCCACGCCTATGTGGCTGAAAGAGCTTGAAATAATTTCTTTAAAAAATCCACGCCTATGTGGCTGAAAGAGCTTGAAATAATTTCTTTAAAAAATCCACGCCTATGTGGCTGAAAGAGCTTGAAATAATTTCTTTAAAAAATCCACGCCTATGTGGCTGAAAGAGCTTGAAATAATTTCTTTAAAAAATCCACGCCTATGTGGCTGAAAGAGCTTGAAATAATTTCTTTAAAAAATCCACGCCTATGTGGCTGAAAGAGCTTGAAATAATTTCTTTAAAAAATCCACGCCTATGTGGCTGAAAGAGCTTGAAATAATTTCTTTAAAAAATCCACGCCTATGTGGCTGAAAGAGCTTGAAATAATTTCTTTAAAAAATCCACGCCTATGTGGCTGAAAGAGCTTGAAATAATTTCTTTAAAAAATCCACGCCTATGTGGCTGAAAGAGCTTGAAATAATTTCTTTAAAAAATCCACGCCTATGTGGCTGAAAGAGCTTGAAATAATTTCTTTAAAAAATCCACGCCTATGTGGCTGAAAGAGCTTGAAATAATTTCTTTAAAAAATCCACGCCTATGTGGCTGAAAGAGCTTGAAATAATTTCTTTAAAAAATCCACGCCTATGTGGCTGAAAGAGCTTGAAATAATTTCTTTAAAAAATCCACGCCTATGTGGCTGAAAGAGCTTGAAATAATTTCTTTAAAAAATCCACGCCTATGTGGCTGAAAGAGCTTGAAATAATTTCTTTAAAAAATCCACGCCTATGTGGCTGAAAGAGCTTGAAATAATTTCTTTAAAAAATCCACGCCTATGTGGCTGAAAGAGCTTGAAATAATTTCTTTAAAAAATCCACGCCTATGTGGCTGAAAGAGCTTGAAATAATTTCTTTAAAAAATCCACGCCTATGTGGCTGAAAGAGCTTGAAATAATTTCTTTAAAAAATCCACGCCTATGTGGCTGAAAGAGCTTGAAATAATTTCTTTAAAAAATCCACGCCTATGTGGCTGAAAGAGCTTGAAATAATTTCTTTAAAAAATCCACGCCTATGTGGCTGAAAGAGCTTGAAATAATTTCTTTAAAAAATCCACGCCTATGTGGCTGAAAGAGCTTGAAATAATTTCTTTAAAAAATCCACGCCTATGTGGCTGAAAGAGCTTGAAATAATTTCTTTAAAAAATCCACGCCTATGTGGCTGAAAGAGCTTGAAATAATTTCTTTAAAAAATCCACGCCTATGTGGCTGAAAGAGCTTGAAATAATTTCTTTAAAAAATCCACGCCTATGTGGCTGAAAGAGCTTGAAATAATTTCTTTAAAAAATCCACGCCTATGTGGCTGAAAGAGCTTGAAATAATTTCTTTAAAAAATCCACGCCTATGTGGCTGAAAGAGCTTGAAATAATTTCTTTAAAAAATCCACGCCTATGTGGCTGAAAGAGCTTGAAATAATTTCTTTAAAAAATCCACGCCTATGTGGCTGAAAGAGCTTGAAATAATTTCTTTAAAAAATCCACGCCTATGTGGCTGAAAGAGCTTGAAATAATTTCTTTAAAAAATCCACGCCTATGTGGCTGAAAGAGCTTGAAATAATTTCTTTAAAAAATCCACGCCTATGTGGCTGAAAGAGCTTGAAATAATTTCTTTAAAAAATCCACGCCTATGTGGCTGAAAGAGCTTGAAATAATTTCTTTAAAAAATCCACGCCTATGTGGCTGAAAGAGCTTGAAATAATTTCTTTAAAAAATCCACGCCTATGTGGCTGAAAGAGCTTGAAATAATTTCTTTAAAAAATCCACGCCTATGTGGCTGAAATAATTTTTTTTAAAAAATCTGCGCCTATGTGTCTGAAAGAGCTTGAAATAATTTCTTTAAAAAATCCACGCCTATGTGGCTGAAAGAGCTTCAAATATTTTTTTTAAAAAATCCGCGCCTATGTGTCTGAAAGTGCTTGAAATAAATTAATTAAAACATCCACAGCAAAATCCATACCTTTATTGACCCGCTACTTTTTAAAGAGTCTAGCCTTGCTATTAAATGTCTACTATTTATCCTCGCAAAAATTCCATTTCATAAATGAATTTGAGTCAATTGAATCCAGTCTATACAGTATGTCTTCGCATGTCAAATGTCATTTGTCCAGTGCTTATGCAATCGCTTTCAAAAAGGTGTACACTGGAACAGCTTTATGTCAACATGATTATATCGATACAGTAAACAGCTCGTTTTATTTACTCGGAAAACTTTTCAAAACTTATCAAAAATAGCAAATCAAAATCAGTGCTACTATAAAAAGGAGAACTCATCCATTCCGCAAAATCATAAAAGTAATTAACTTTGTGTGTGTTAAATCGTTCGCAATTCAAGGAGTGGTAAAAATAAAAGTGAAAACCAAAAAAGAAAATTGTGAAAAGTGTTGAAGTGAAATTCTTAAAGTGATAATGGATTGGTCGGTTAAGGAAAACAATTTGAGTCGTTATAACAATAAAAAGTTAAGCGAAAGTAAAGTTATAAGTATGTTTGTGTAAATGTGTTTTTGGTGGAAGAATTCTTTTGAAATTCGTGTTATTATTTAAGATTATGACCAACCACCACCAAACTATTCCAGTGATGAGGATAATATTTGCACCAAGGAGGCTGTCAAAAGGAATATCAAAGATTATTTGGAAAATACATCTCTACATGGTTTGAAATATATTGCAGAAGATAAAATTACCATATCGGAAAGGTTGGATAAATTAGACAGGACCTGTTACAATTGTATTAATTTTTTTCCAATCTTATTTTATTTTTCCATTAAAAAAATGTATGCTGTCTTCTAAGAGTTTTCTTTGGCTTGGCCTTTGTTTGTGTGGTTATTGTATCTGGATTTTTCATATCCAATGTATATGTGAAGTGGTCGGCTACACCCATAATTATATCGACTAGCTCAAAGCAGACCCTAAGCACTGAGGTACCATTTCCTGCAATAACCATATGTAATCTGAATCAGGCTCAGAAGAGTAAAGTACAAAATATTCCAAAGTGAGGAATTTTAAAAGAAAATTATAAGAACCAATTAAGTGACCTGGTAAATATTTTTTAGGACCAGCTCAAATTTTTCATTGCTAATGAGTTTGTGCGATCAAGATGCTAACGATGTGGTGATGACATATTTGGGATTTTGGAAATATTTTAAAGCCATTTTAATTGAGGTACGCAGTTGATCTAAATATTTTTTTAGTCAATCGAAGTAATATATATCTTATAGGTGGCTCAACCTTGTGACCGCATGCTTCTATTTTGTAGCTTTGGTTCTCTCGTTGAAAATTGTTCTAATATTTTCGATTCCGTATTAACGGATGA